AGAGTAGAGTAGAGTAGAGTAGAGTAGAGTAGAGTAGAGTAGAGTAGCTTTGACAGGAAACCCTACACCACTTCAGACAAATGGTTATCCAATATCAACTTCTGGAGGCAAGTTGTTCCGCTGATTAATTGTTCTAACTGTCAGAAAATTTCTTCTTAGTTCTAAGTTGCTTCTCTCCTTGATTAGTTTCCATCCATTGTTTCTTGTCTGCCTTCAGGTGTGTTGTGGTTAGCCGGCAGCAGGTGCAGTTGGCTGAGGAGAGCGATGACTCTGATGAGGGGCCAGGACCATCAGGGAGTGGACTGCTGCCTTCAGGGATTGTGGGGGCTGGCAGCAGTGACGAGGAGGTTCCCGAGGAGCCTGTGCCAAGTGCGCGTGAGCGCAGGATGATTCGTAGAAGAGAACAGCTGGAGCAGCACAGGCGACTCGGGAGTAAGAATTGCAACATAATGGCCACTCCCTCCAGGGAATATAACCCTGGTTTCAAAAGGTTTTTGCTTTTGCAGAAAGCAAAAACGTTCCAAGGATCCAGCATTGTGTGTAGAGACTCCTGCATATTTGAAGAATTCTGTCAAGGCTTTTCTGGTTGGACTAATTGGCTACAAGCCATCTTTTATCCACAAAGAAGTTTATTTGTAGATTAAATCTGTGAAAGTTTGAGTTACTGAGTTTGTTTGAGATTTTCTTGCTGATAACAGGGCTGGGTCAGAACAAGGTGTTTTGGGAAAAAAGCTTGAATCCTTCCTCTCTGTGGCAGCCCCTCAAATATTGAAAGACTGCTATCTTGTCTTCTCTTCACTAGACTATCCATGCCCAGTTCCTGCAACCGTTCATCATATGTTTAAGCCTCCAGGCCACTAATCCTCTTTGTTGCTCTTCTCTGCACTCTTTCTAGAGTCTCAACATCTTTTTTACATCGTGGCAACCAAAGCTGGATGCAGTATTCCAAGTGTGGTCCTACCAAGGCATTATAAAGTGGTATTAGCACTTCACGTGATTTTAATTCTATCCCTCTGTTAAAGGCCACTTTGGGGTTTATCTGTGCCCTCAGGGTCACCCGAAGCAAGGTACAGTTGGTTCTGGAATCTTCTTGAAACTGCTACAAGGGTTGCATTGTAGACTGGAGATGGGTGCTGTCTTATTCCTCCCGCTCTGTTGAGGGAGGGATGTTCAATTCTAACATAGATGGATTCTTTTACCCCACTCTGTCCTCTCTGTCCAAAATGTGGACTTCTTTTCTCTTCTTCCTCAAGGCAAAAACAGTCTGGTTCAGGGGTGAAATTCAAAAATTTTCCCTACCGGCACGGTGGGCGTGGCTTGGTGGGCGTGGCTTGGTGGGCGTGGCTTGGTGGGACTCAATCTCCAAAAGGAAGAAGGCGGTAAGCGTGGGCGGGGCCAACCAATTCAAATCGTCCCTACCGCCTCTCCCAAGGTGGTACGAGGTGGTTGAATGTCACCCCTGGTCTGGTTGCCTTTGAGGCAACTATGATCTGAATGACTGAGGATCTCCATAGAATTTAACTTGCATTCTGTATTTCTTTCTGTATTGATTCCCCAGAACATTAAAGTTGCAAATACTCCAACACTGGAGGTTTTAAAGAAGATATTGGATAACAATGTATAGGGTTTCCTGCCTAAGCAGGGGGTTGGACTAGAAGACCTCCAAGGTCCCTTCCAACTCTGTTATTCTATTCTATTCTATTCTATTCTATTCTATTCTATTCTATTCTATTCTATTCTATTGTGAGGTGTTTTTTTTCTTTTTGCTAGCCATGGCAGTAAAAAAGCAGAGTAGCCCATTTCATGTTCCCTAAATTCTTCAATCACACTGACCATCTATAGATTTTCAGAAAATGTTTGCACTAGTAGTAGGATTCAATTTTTTTTACTACCAGTTCTGTGGGCATGGCTTAGTGGGCAAGGCTTGGTGGGCGTGGCAGGGGAAGGATATTGCAAATCCCCATTCCCTCCCCACCCCACTAACCTGCTTTCCAGCTCCGTTCTCCTGTGCAGGGCAACCAAAGAAGACCCAGCCGATCAGCTGGGACTCAATGGGAGGCAGAGAAGAGATGGGGTTGGCGGGCCAGTCAGAGGTGGCATTTGCCGGTTCTCCGAACTACTCAATTTCCACTGCTGGTTCTCCAGAAGTGGTCAGAACCTGATGAATACCACCTCTGGTTTGCACACTGCTTTATGCATTCTGTGTATCTTTTTCTGAAGGTATATAGTTCTGTATGCTTGAATGCCTCCGGTGGATGGTGATAAGTTTTTTTCCCTTTAAATCCCCTCCCCTTATCTTTGTCGATCTGTATGCATTTCCTCAGATTGTTTTTTTCAAGTTACAAACTGCATCACAAATTTTGACAAGTGTTGCAAATAAGCACCCTTCTACTTTGACCTCTCTTATCTGTCTGATGGATCTGAAATCATTAAATTCATGTAAGCAATTTGACAGAGCTGATTCCTTAAACTCTGTCTGTATTATAGGATGTTGTTCTTTTCCGTTCTTAATGCATTTGCCCCGTTTAAAACACATACACACCAGAGGTGGTATTCAATCGGTTCTGACCTGTCCTACAGAACCGGTAGTGGAAATTTTGAGTAGTTCGGAGAAGCGGCAAATCCCACCTCTGACTGGCCCCACCCCCATCTATTCTCTACCTCCCATTGAGTCCCAGCTTATCAGTTGGGTCTTCTTTGGTTGCCCTGCACAGGAGAACGGAGCTGGAAAGCAGGTTAGTGGGGTGGGGAGGAATGGGGATTTTACAGTAACCTTTCCCTGCCACCCACCAAGTCACACCACACCCACCAAGCCACATCACGTGCACCAAGCCACGCCCACAGAACCGGTAGTAAAAAAAATTGAATACCACCAGTGACACACACCAACCTTCTTGAGGTTCAAGGAAATTAACATTGTTCTTGGGATGTCTGCAAGCTCCAATGTGCTTATGGATTCCCGTTGAGGACCTCACAGCTTCTCTGACCCACCTGATTCATGTTTAAGATGTTTTGCAAAGCAAACCCCGGGGATCTCACGTAATCTGTGGCACACATATCATAAACTAGGTCCAAGAAACAGAGGTTGGTTCTAAAACATAATTCATTGGTTGTTCCATCAAGCAATGGCCACATGGAACCATCTGCTGTGAATCACTCTGAGTAGAACTTCCATCTCACCCATCAACAAACCAAATAAAATTCCTTTTCAACAGATCCAAATCCATATATCCCAGTGGTGGTATTCTACCGGTTCAGCCCAGTTCAGCCAAACCAGTAGTAAAAAAAATGCTACCTCTTCGGCCCAACCGGTATTTCCAACTATCAGCTGGGCAACCATCAGCTGTGTTGCATGATTTAGATCAGCTAGAAAGCCGGAAATCATCGGATTTCTGGCTTTCTAGCCAGGGGTGGGATTCAACCCGTGTTACTACTGGTTCAAAAGAAAGAGGGAAAGAAAGAAAGAAAGAAAGAAAGAAAGAAAGAA